TGTAAGGGGTGGTGGCGGGGGTAAGGGTTGGTGGCGGGGGTAAGGGGTGGTGGCGGGGGTAAGGGGTGGTGGCGGGGGTAAGGGGTGGTGGCGGGGGTAAGGGGTGGTGGCGGGGGTAAGGGGTGGTGGCGGGGGTAAGGGGTGGTGGCGGGGGGAAAGACGAACCACGGGGAAGGAGGGAGGGAGGGAGAAAGGGAGGAAGGGAGGGCAGACGCGGATCATCGCATAGTAGGTTGAGGGGGAAGGGGAAGGGGCCACGGAGCTTTGGGTTTGGGTTCGCCCGATTGCCCTGATGCCTAATTGCCGTACCGTACGGTGTCGTACCTTGCATGTCCACCCCCTTGGATCTCTTGGCTGGCTCTTGAGCAGCACGTTGGAGGGCTTCAGGTCGCAGTGGACCAGCGCCAGGGAGTGCATGTGGCGGAGGGCCAGAGCCACCTCTAGCAGGCAGATGTACATGGACTGCAAAGGAGGAAGGGGGGAGGGGGGAAAACACGAACCACGAAAGAGTGAAGCTGTTGCCAAGGAAAGAGTGCTGCGACGAGTACAGGGGAGGGGGAGGGGAATCATGATACGCTAAAAACCCAAAATTTGCGATACACTGCCGGGAAAGGGAAGGCGGGAAGGGGAAGACGAGCCACAGACGAGAGAGGTAAAGCCATGTAATACCATAGATAGAGACGGATACTGCACAACAGGATTAATAGACGAGGATGAAGGCGGGAAGGGAAAGACGAACCACGACCAAGTGAAGCTGCTGCCAAGCAAAGAGGATGAGTTGGGTAGGGAGATACGTCCGGGTAGCCAGGAACCGATACGGCCGGAGTACCAAATTGTTGGGGTGGGAGAGGGCCGGGAGAACGGAGATAGGGAGAGGGGCAAAACGAGTCCACACGTCGCGGTGCTCAGGGCAAACAGGGCCACTGTCGCAGTAGAGGTGGGAGGGGACGGAGGGGGGCAGCATATGCCAGGTTTGGGACGGGGGGAGAGGGGCCAAAGGCGGGACGTCGTGGCGGGGGTGGGGGTGTACGAGACAGGGAGGGGGGAGGGCGGGTCGGGTGGCGGCGGTGGTGGTGGTGGCAGTAGAGAACAGACCCAGCAAGCTGTAGTAGCAGGTGATGGCTGCGGAG